ATATATAAAAATCCAATACTTTTTTGAGTACCTTTTGGAATGACAACACAACACTCAAAAAAGTTGTGGATTTTGGAGCATTTCCAATTTTGGATTTCCAAACTATGGATGCTAAACTGATAAAGTCTATGATCATATTCCAAACTACAAAAACTCTGAAATCTGAAATACTTGGGGTCCCAAGCATTTTGAGGAAGGGATACTCTACCTATAGTAACCATTGCAAAGGAAATATGAAAACAGAAAATTACATAAATTAGGTCCTCTTTAAGGTTGTGAGCTTCCTGAGGGGAGGAACCAAGTTATCTTATGATCATCATCTTTATTTTATTATCACCATTATCATTATCATTTCATAATGACAGTAATTACTGCTTACTATGACTTTGCTCTGCCACTAATTAATATAGCCTCCCAACACTTAGTTTCTTTTTCTGTTAACAAGATTGTTAAACTAAGTCTCCTTCAGTTCTACAATCTACTACTATTCTATCTTCAATTTACTACTCATGAGTCATCCAAGTAAATTATACACATTTTTAAAAAGTTCTTTATCATATCAAAATCTTTGTTTTTTTTTCCTCGAAGACGGAGACTGAACCCACGGCTTCCTATATGATAAGTACAAGTTCTACCACTGAGCTACAGTTCCAGGACCCCAAATCTTTTTTTAAAAAAAGGGTTTGTATGAGACAACAATGAAAAAGTAAAACTTATAAATAATATCAAAAGAATTTTAGCAATATTTCAGTATCATTAAAGACATTAAATATATACAAAATATTCTTTTTAAAAATAAAATTGCAAAATGAAAAACAATTTAAAAATAAAATCACAGAATGAGAACAAAACAGATTGGAACAATAATGTTCAGTAATAACTACACAAAAGAGGCTTTTCTGTATGGGTACCTCTTCTTGGTTTCTCTTAAGATAACTCTGTATTATCTATCCTAGGAATAGTGTACCGGGATCATAGACTTTAAATATACTTTATTTCTCAAGCACATACAAAATACTACAATTTCTTACTAATGAAAGATACAAATAAAAGTTTATTTGATAAACAACTTACATATACCTATATAAATAAGAATGTCATGTTATTTATTTAAGGCATTATTCCTTTTTCCTTTTCCAAATTCAATTTTCTTTTTATTTGTTGTATTTTAAAAAATAAACTTAGGCTGGGGTTGTAGCTCAGTGGTAGAGCATTTGTCTAGCATATGTTAGGCATTGGATTCTATTCTCAGCACTGCATATATGTAAATAAATAAAACTAAATGTCCATTGACAACTAAAATAAGTATTTTTAAAAAACAAATAAAAAAAATAAACTGGGTTAATTTTCATTATTATTTTATTTATTATTATTTTTTAAATTTTTTTTAGTTGTTGATGGACACAGTACCTTTATTTTCATTCATTTATTTTTATGTGGGGCTGAGGATCAAACCCAGTGTCTTACACATGCTAGGCAAGTGCTTTACCACTGAGCTAGAACCCCAGCCCTATTTTTTTTTTTTTTAAATGTGAAAGAGACTCTGAAACACTGGATCATACACATGAGACACTATTTTTAAACCTTTTTATTACAGATCTTGTTGAGAACCTGATAAAGACAAATCTTCCTCCTCAAAAATCAAATAAAATTTGCATAGTATTTTAGCGTGTTCATAGAAAATCTAGGGATTCACAGTCTGATAATAAAACATAATTGAGAATCTTTGGGATACATACCATTGAGAAACCTTATGATACACTGAGTAAATTACTGATTTGGTAAAGGGTAAGATATTCACAATGAGCTGGGCAGGATGGCACAGGCTTATAATCCCAGCAATTTAGGAGGCTATACGAAGCAGGGGCCATCAAAAGCTTGAGGTCAGACTCCATAATTTAGCAGAGAGACTGTCTCAAATTAAAAAAATAAAAAGGGCTGAGGATGTAGCTCAGCAGTAAAGTATCCCTGAGTTCAATACCCAATACCAAAAAAAAAAAAAAAAATATATATATATATATATATATATATATACAACAACTAATAAATATATATATATATATTCACAATGGTTATTAGAAATCCTGTGGGTATCAGTTTGTTTATGTTTCTACATTCAATGTGTTTATCTTGCAATGGAAGCCTACTGCAATGGAAGTAGCGATTATTCTTCTAATACCAAGTAGTATTCAGTAGATCCTTCTTAGTTTTTAGAAAAATCACTACACTTTGGGTAAATTGTGAAAATGTATGATTTGTATAAATCTGAAAAACAGATTATTCACTGCTTTGCAGGATCCACAAACAGAAGAACACTTCATTTAGTTTTTTATTTGTTGTACTTAAAAGCAATGAAGTGGGCTGGGGTTGTGGCTCAGTGGTAGAGCATTTGCCTAGCATGTGTGAGGCCCTGGGTTCGATCCTCAGCACCACATATAAATAAATAAGATACTGTGTTCAACTTCAACTAAAAAATAAATATTTAAAAAAACCAAAAAGCAATGAAGTAAGTGGGCTGGGGCTGTGGCTGGGTAGTAGTGCACTTACCTGGCATGTGTGAGGCACTGGGTTTGATTCTTAGTACCACATATAAATAAATAAAATAATAAAGGCCTATCAACAACTAAAAAAATACAGTCAGAAGCTTACCTGCGAAGCAGTTAGTGTTTCCAGTTTTTGAAGTCTCTGAAGGACATTCTGCATGTCCTCCTGCAATCTCATGAGCACTAGAGCAATCTGCTCATTGAGGCTGCCTCGTGATCCTCTGTCTGAGCCCCAGCGTTCTCCGTCACCTCCACTTCCCACTTGCCCACCTTTGGTTCCTTCGCTCCAATGTGGCATCCTATGTCCTATTGTAAGAGAGCAAAATAAGTTAGTTTTAAATAAAACTTTTTTAGAATTTTGCTTGTATTTAAATAAAAATAGAATGTTTTATTCATTTTCCTGTTATTTAAGATCTAAATCTCTCAAGTAGAATAGAAACAATCAGGAAATAGACAAAATAACTCTTAGGATCAAAGAAATAAACATATAAACATATAAAATAAAAAATATAAAACATAAAATAATATAAAACATTATATGTTTTATATAAAATACAAAATAAACATATTTATTCTGACCTATTTAAAAAAAATTTTGCTAATGTTTTACATATAATATATTAATATGTGACTATATTCATATAATTCACAAACAGATACATGTGCAGAGTCCATTCTAAAAAATTCTTGACCAAAAGGTAAAAAAACTGAAAAAAATTGAAGATTGCTTCTCTAGAGTACTAAAAGTTATATTAAATAAATGTTATGTTTTCCTTTTTGGTCATTTTTGGTTTCATTACATTGTCTCACAAAAGATTTTTAAATGTGTTTTTCTTATTATAAATTGTATACTTTTAATACATATTAAAACCTAATTACTACTGAGATTTTGCTAGCATCTGTTCATTCTTTTTTGGTAAGATTTGTCCTTTCTTGAACTTTGGATTGGGCAAAGGGAAGGGTGGAGAGGGATTATGAGGATAGGAAAGACGGTGGAATGAGATGGACATCATTACCCTAGGTACATGTATGATTGCAGGAATGGTGCATCTCTACACCATTTACAACCATAGAATTGAAATGCTGCACTCCACTTGTGCACGATGAATTAAAATGCATTCTGCTGTCATATACAACTAAGTAGAACAAATAAAATTTTTTTAAAAAAAGATGTCATATATATATATATATATATATTTGATGGACACAATACTTTTATTTATTTATTTATTTTTATGTGGTGCTCAGGATCAAACTCAGTGCCTCATGGGTGCTAAGCAAGCATTCTACCACTGAGCTACAACCCCAGCCCCTCCATTCTTTTTCCTACGCAGATATTTACAAAATTGGCATTACCCCTTATACTTGTCTTTTTAAAGCATATTATGAACATATGTCTGTATCATTAAATGTTATTCCAAAGACATTTAAATGAATGCACAAATTTCTTAGTTAAGCCAGGAAGTAATTCACTCATTCTTCACTTTTGGATAGTTAGGATGATTTCAAATTTTTGCTAATACAAATAACACTGCAAGAAATGTCTTTGAATATAAATTCTTATCCAAATTTCCACTGATTCCTTTAGGATAGATTCCAAGAATAATAATTCCTGAATAAAAGGATAACAACTTTGTCAAGGTTCTTAATGAGTATCGCCACACTTCTGTTCAGAAAGACTTGAGTTTTATGCTGCTCTGTTTAACAGTACAAACACATTACTCTACCTTTGCAGAAATGGAGTATGCATTTCAGATCTTTCCTCATACCAGAAGCCTTAAGGGCCTTTGGCAGTCAGAAATAATTATCCCTGAGCAATTATTCCCCCTTGCTTTTACCAAGTCTTCTTGATCAGAAACCAGAAGGGGAAGATCAAATGTGAAAGCAAATCCCAGTTTCTTCAAACTCTGGCTATAGTTATGCTTATCCACCGTGGAAGTAACTGGCTAGATATATGAAGTTCAGTGAACCAGGTGCTAGGTTACCCAATCCCCCTTTCATTTTCTCTCTTATGCCTTCTGTATAACAGATGATTAGTTCTATCAGATTATTCTCCATTCTCCAACCTTCTTCTCAACCACAGGTGTTGGGGGCGAGTCTCAGTTATTCTATTTATTTATCCAAAGAGGTTTTAAGAGGACACTATAAATTCTTTTATTCAAGCCACTATCGTTTACAGTTTATATCCAATATATTGAAGAGATTTTTTTCCCAAATTTCATAACTTGCCTTCATCCTCATTGAACTGCTTTTTTCAGAGGATGGGGTAGAATTTCCCATATATTCCAAATCAGATCCTTCATTTTCTTCCTAATTGTCTGCTGCTCTGCTGATACTTTGCAAAGTTTATGGTATAAGACCAAGTTCCTTAACTAGTTTTAGGGCTGTGTCATATATTTAGATATTTTCATATTCTTTTCATTCATTTAGTCAGAGTGTTATGACCATACATACACTTGCCTAATAATCCTGAGAGCCCACTTTCAACATGTAATGAACAATGAGAAAGAGAATGAGTAAAATGATACAAGGGTAATAAGCTACTTTTTTTTTTTTTGGTACTGGAGCTTGAACCCAGGGGCACATAACCATTGAGTTATAACCCCAGGCCTTTTTTAATTTTCTGAGATAGGGTCTCACTAAGTTGTTTAAGGCCTTACTAAGTTGTTGAGCCTGGCTTTGAACTTGCAATCCTCCCGCCTCAGCCTCCCAAGCCATTGAGAGTAGTGTGCCACTGTGCCTAGTTAATTCCTTTAATTAAAGTTAAATGTACGGCTAGTGATATAGCTCAATGGTTGAGCACTTGCCTAGCATGTATGAGGCCTTGGTATAATACCCAGTACTGCAAAAAAATAAATACATAAATAAATAAAGTTAAATATAAATTATTAGGTACTTATAAAAAGTACCATTTCTTAAATTGAAATATGAGGAAAGGGATAATCAAATATTTAAAAAGAAGAGGCAAAATACCATGATAGGAAAGGCATATAGAAAGATGCAGTGATTGAAGGAGCAAGGTAGACATCAGAGTGGAAACATTTCCTTTGCTTATTCAAAATAGATGCTTAAAAGAAGTAATTCGAAAATAAAAAAAGGAAGAAGGTGATAAAGGCAAGGATTACAAAGAACAGGTTGGAATTAACTTTCATAAGTTTAATTCACAAGCTAAGTTTAGACTTTATAGAAAGATCACAAAATAGTATACTGTACATTCTTGAACAGGAATAATATGCCTTACAAACATACTAAAAGGAAAACAAGGGACAGTGACACAGCTTGTAATCCCAGTTACTCAGGATCTGAGGCAAGAGGATAGTTCAAGGCCAGCATGGGAAATTTAGTGAGATCCTATCTCAAAATAAAATTTGAAAAGGAGCTAAGAGGCCAGGCATGGTGGCACATGCCTATTAATCTCAGTGACTTGGGAGCAGCTACACTGCTCAATAAGTTAAAAATATTAAATGCATATTCAAGTTATAATGCTCTCATAATGGGCTTAGTGGGACGTAGCTCCATTGTAAATTGATGAGCTTTTGTATTTTGTTCAAGTAGTTATTTTAAAACCATTATTTTCCTTTCCTTTTTTTTTTTTTTTTTTTTTTGTGTATGTGTGTGTGCGTGTGTGGCCAGGATTAAACACAAGACCTCATGCATGTGAAGTACATGTTTTACCATTGAGCTACAATCCTAGTCCTAAACCATAAGTTTCTATAATATCTTTAATTCTTTTTTCACAACATCTATTTATTTCTTACCAGAAACAATTTTTTTAAAAAAATATTTTTTAGTGGTAGATGGACACGATACCTTTATTCATCTTTATGTAATGCTAAGGATCAAACCCAGGGCCTCACACATGCTAGGTGAGTGCTCTACCACTGAGCCACAATCCCAGCCTTTACCAGAAACAATTATAATGAACACATTTATTTTTCTTCTGCACTCAACTCTATTCTGTTACCTGATGACATCACTATTCTAAAGGTTTATCTTTACAGTGTTAAATGTTCTTTCATATTTGTTACTTAACTTGTCAGCTTTAAATGATCTCTTTTGTCCTAAGTGGGGAAATGTGGAAAAGATAAAGAACTCAGATTTCTACCTGGGGATGACAGGAGAAGAGGCATCAGCACAGCTAGAAAAGTGATTGTTCAGGGGGGAAATAGAACATAAATTTGGTTACAAAAAAATTGCATTAAAATTTTAGAAACGGAAATGTTTCCTCTGATGCTTTCAGAGATGACACATTATGCCCAGAGTTAAAGGGGAAAACTAGACAAAGAAAAACTAAAGATGTTATTAACTTTCAGCTTTATGACAACCTTTGCATACTGAACATATTAGTGCTTCTTTTGTTTAGAACTTTCCCATTTTACCAATTAGTTTATAGTGAGGAAGAAGAAAAGGGAATACACACCTCTCCCTCTTCTGACATTAGAGAATTCCTCATTTTCTCCGCCTCGCTTCTCACGGTGTGGTGCTCCACTGTTATTTCTGCCATCTTCTCCTCCATGCTTTACTTCACCTTTTCCTTCAACTGTTACCACCTGCATATTTCCAATGTTGCCACTTCTAGGAGATACTTGGACATCTTCAGGAAAACCAGAATTTTCCAAGGGCTGATTGCAATCACTACCCAAGTAATATTGAAATGGTCCATTGTTTGATGTAAAACTGTCTAAAGACTACAAATTTAAAATGACACTTCATTAAAAACTATAAATTGTTATATACCATAAAGTTTTCATGGCACCAAAATACCATCTAAAATGTTATTTCATGTTTTAATGGAAATATTCCTAATCTAAAAAATTTCTTCAATTCATCACCAACTTCCTATATGCCATTAAAAAAAAAAAAAGATAGGAATGATTTTGTCCATGACATTTTCACAGTGCACTGTTCTTATGAGTCAATCACTCATCCAAGAAACATGTAAATTTCTATTCTTACCATAATTATTACCTTTAGGGATACTCTGAAGAAAGAGATAGGATCCCTGCCTGTACGAAGCTTACAATCTTAGGGAATCGGAGAAGGTTATAACAACACTGTTTAATAAGTTTTATGAAAAGACATGCAAAGAATGTTATAGGAGCTCAGAGAACAGGTACCAAACCCACACTGGGGTTGAGTGGAGGCTTAGAACAGACTTCTTGAAATAAATTAGATCAATTATGACTTGAAGAACAAATAAGAACAAATGATATAAGCCAAGTCAAAGGTGTCACAATAATAACATCATGAACCAATAAATTAGTTGGGATACAGGATGATTTTGAAAACTTTAAAAAAAAAATTTTATTTTTTAATATTTTTTAGTTGGAGATGGACACAATATCTTTATTTTATTTATTTATTTTTATATGGTACTGAGTATCAAACCCAGTGCCTCACATGTGCTAGGCAAGTGCTCTACCACTGAATTACAACCCCAGCCCAGACTTGAGAACATTTAACACTATAGAATCAACAAGACTTGAAAGACTGAATGAGGGGAGTAAGGGAAAGAAAAGTCTCTAGAGACTAGATGATTTGTTGACTCACCAAGGTGAAATACTGAGGATAAAGAGGTTTCAGGAGAACAGAAAGAGAAAATGGTACTATTACAGATAAGAAAAAATTGAGGTCCCCAGGCAAGATATCTAACAGGGCAGTTGGAATTCAGATAAAACATTGGATTTATCACTTGAGAGTAATCAGCCTGTGAAAAACGGTTGATACTGAGGAAGTGGTAACTAGAACTACATGTCTGAGGAACACTAAATTTAAGAGGTCAACAGAAAAAGAAAAACTCAAAAGAAGAAGACTACATGGAACCTAACAGGTAAAAGAGAAACCCTTTTAAAGGAATGGTATAATGAAATATTTTCCAGGAGAGAATAGTTAATATTTTTAAATGATAGTCAAATGACAGGAAATATAAAGCATCCTTTCAAATTAGTGAACAGAGACAAGTTGGCATGTATGACAGAAACCTGACTGAGGTGAATGAATGCAGTTAATGAATACAATCCCAAAAATGTCTGGCCATAAAGTAAAGAAGGGCAATAAGACAATACTTAGAGGGTTTCACAAGATTAAGAAAGCATTTTCTGGGCTCGGGTTGTGGCTCAGTGGTAGAGCGCTTGCCTAGCACGCATGAGGCACTGGGTTCAATCCCCAGCACCATATAAAAAACTTTAAATAAACAAAATAAAGGTATTGCGTCCATCTACAACTAAAAATTTTAAAAAGAAAGCATTTCCTTTCAAAGACAGAAGGGATATGAACATGTGTTTAGCATGAGAAAAAAGAATCAGAAGAGACACAATCATTGGAATAGTCTAGGGAGTAGAAAAAATGGAAGTCTCCAATGTGGGAAAAAAATAAGACACAAGCAAATCAGAGAAACTGGCCTTAAATGGGAAGAACATGTTATCCAGTGAGGTAGGAAGAAAACTGGCAAGAATTAAATAAAATAAGCTAATACTCAGTAAGTTAAATAAGTAAGTGTTAGGTATAAAGAACAATAACCTATTCTTTTATCTTCTTAGTATAACGAGAAACAAAATTATGTGATGAAAACAAGGGGGTAGGAATATCAGTCCCACCCATACTACCAATTCTGGTAGAACTCTAGTATTTTATTTCATGTTTTTGATGCTACTCAGAATATGGTCTGCAGACCAATAGCAGCAGCAGCAGCAGCAAACGGAGCTTGTTAGACATGCAAATTCATGGGTCCCACTAAGACTTACTAAATCAGAGACTCTGGGATTGATAATGACCCAGGAATCTATGCTATAATAGGCTCCCTGTTAAAAAACAGCCAGGCACGGTGGAGCACACCTATAATCCCAGTAGCTCGGGAGCCTGAGTCAGGATAATCGCAAGTTCAAAAGCCAGCCTCAGCAACAGGAGGCACTTAGCAACTCAGTGAGACCCTGTCTCTAAATAAAATACAAAATAGGGCTGGGGATGTGGCTCAGGGGTTAAGTACCCCTGGGTGTAGTCCACAGTACCAAAAACAAAAATTTGAGAAACACAACTTAAGAGAGATATGAAAATGTATAAAGCAAAGTAGAAAAAAATGTCTAATAATTTAATCTATAAAAATTTTTATATTTTAGGAAAGAGATTTATAGCCACACACTGTGGCACATGCCTGTAATCCCAGAGACTCAGAAGGCTGAGGCAGCAGAATTCCAAGTTCCAAGGCCAGCCTTAGCAATTCAGCAAGATCCTTAGCAATTAGTGATACCCTGTTTCAAAATAAAAAAATCAAAAGGGTCAGGGCTAGGGATGTATGGCAGTAGTAAAGCACCTCTGGATTTAATCCCCAGTACCAAACAAAACAAAACAAAAAACAGGGATTTATAATGTATTCAACTTAATACAATTTGGATGAAAACAAAAACTACGAAATAGCCAGGCATGGTGTACATGCCTGTAATCCCAGCTGCTCAGGAGGCTGAGGCAGGAGAATCAAAGGTTCAAGGACAGTCTCAGCAACTTGGCAAGGCCCTGAGCAATTTAGTGAGATCCTGTCTCAAAAATATAAAAATGGGCTGGGGAGGTAGCTCAGTGATTAAGCGCCCCTGGGTTCAATTCCTGGTATCAAAAAACAAAACAAAACAAAAACCCTGACTTTTCTTTAAGCAATAATTTAAGTGAGGTGAGGCCCTAGACAGCACAAGGTTTTCTATCACCTCAGCAATTTAGTAAAATCAGTGGAATACAGTATTTTCAGACCATAAGCCCTATTGAAAGGAAAGAAACCAAAGCAATAAAAATAGTAACAAGGTAAAAAAGATCACTGCAGGTCTGGTGATGCATGAGTGTAATCCCAGCTACTCCAGAGGATGAATCAAGAGGATCACAAATTTGAGGTCAGCCTTGGCAACTGAGTGAGACTTTATCTCAAAATAAAAATTAAAAAAAGCTGGGGATATACAACCATGGTAAAGCACCACTGGGTTCAATCCCTAGCGCCACAGCAAATAAATAATAAATAAATAAGATTGCTGTGTTAAAAAACACTATAAAAATCCTGAAAATAAAATTCCAATACATACATTTTTAAAAAATGATTTATTATAAATCATCTGTCATGAGTAAATAATTTGAAGGTAATGTTATTTAGGATTGAGGTTAGATTAATAATAGGTCAGGCAATAATAAAATAAATGATTTGGGGGGGGGGGGGGGCGGGAGGTTAACCAGGGTCCCAGTGGTGCCACATCCCTAGTCTTTTTTAAAATTTCATTTAGAGAGTCTGAGTTGCTTTAAGACCTCACTAAAATTTTGAGATTGAGACAGGCACACGCCTGTAATCTCAGCAGTTTGGGAGGCTGAGACAGGAGGATTGTGAGTTCAAAACCAGCCTAAGCAAAAATCAAAGCATTAAGCAACTCAGTGAGACCCTGTCTCTAAATAAATACAAAATAGGGCTGTGGAGCCTGGCCTTGTGGCTCAGAGGTAGAGCGCTTGTCCAAGCATGTGTGAGACGCTGGGTTCAATCCTCAGCACCACATAAATATAAAATAAAGATATTGTGTCCACCTATAATTAAAAAATAATATTTAAAAAAAATAGGGCTGGGGATGCGGCTCATTGGTTAAGTGCCCCTGAGTTCAATCCCCAGTACCAAAAAACAAAAAAGCCCTGGGATTACAGGTGTGTGGCATCGTGCCAGGCTAATAAAACAAGATTTTATTTACCTTAACAGACAGGCTAAATACCTCAATGGAGGAGACTGAATATGAGATGAAGTTTGGGAAGAAAACAAATAATGAATCCTAAGAATAAGTAATACTGAAAATCATAAGGAAGTAGAGCAAAGGAAACTCCTGATGAAGTGATAATGTAGAACACAATCAAATTCAACATTCTAACAGAAGAAGGAAAAACTCTCAAAGGCAAACATCAGGAAAAAAATATTCCAAAATTATTTTAGCCTTTTTATTATGGAAAATGTCAAACAGACTAGAGTACTAATTACCAAATTTCAACAATTACCACTTCAGGGCCAATTTCGTTTCACCTATGACTCCTATTTCCAGTGAATTATTTTTAAACAAATTCTAAATATCATATCAGACTATTTTTTAAAAAATTGTAACAAAATAAATATACCAAAGATTTTTGGTATGTACATTGCTTACTCTGTGTGGTGGTCTGGGAGTTAAACTTAACTGACACATTCAAGAGGCTATTAACAGAGTTTAATAAATACTTTTATAACAGAAATACAGTGAGAAGAGAAAAAGAAAATGTTTAAATTGTAATAGTCAAACAAACAACAATAAAAAAGAAAAACATGATATTAATGGTCCACAAAAATCACTTGAAAAGGGCTGGGGATATAGCTCAGTTGGTAGAGTGCTTGCCTCGAACACACAAGGCCCTGAGTTCAATTCCCAACACCACACACACACACACACACAAAAAAAAAAAAAAACCTTAAAAAGGGGCTGGGGTTGTTGCTCAGTGGTAGAGCGCTTGCCTGTCACACATGAGGCCCTACGGTCGATTCCCAGCACCACATTAAAAAAATAAGTAAATAAAAATAAAGATATTGTGTCCATCTATAACTAAAAAAATAATAATAAGTAAATAAAATAAAGGTATAAAAAAACTTGAAAAGACCTGGATTTGTAAGGATTTCAAAATTGATAATAAAGATTACTTAAATATATTTTTAAAAGATTCCATCTAAGTCATTTGTGGATGACAATCTATAATTAAAACAGACTTGGTAAGGATGGTAATGAGATGGAGCTGTACCTATCTAAGAGAATTCCTTTAGGAAGGAACACCTATGTTAGGGTGAAAAGAATGTACAGGAGTTAATCCACTACATGGAAAGTAGGAACTTTCCAGGCCAAATGAATGCACAGTTGCTAATGCTGGATATGAAAAGGAGAAGAGGCTTGACATATTAGAAGAAAAAAGGATATTAAAGAAGGCCAGGATGGATGTGGAGTAAAATCCTGACACAAGAGTGGTATTAACAAAGGCCAGTGAGGTAAGAGATCAGAGAGCCCCAAGAAATAACTCAGTCTACTATGGATTTATAGAGAAAACAGGGGCAAACCTAGAATTTAGTAGTCAGATATTTACTGAGATTCCATCCTATCCAGATCCTTTTCACCAACATTCTCCAAACAATAAAAATTTTAAGAGAAAATAAAAGGGAATCTGGGTTCTTATCACTTACTTTCAAATTCCATTATTAAGCTTATTCTCAGTTTGGGCTCCTTATTATTTTTACAGTCTGTACTATTCATTTATGTTTAACCTTAGTCAATAAATTCTTTATTCATGTTTAAAAATTTGAGAAAAGGGGCTGGGATTGTGGCTCAGCGGTAGAGTTCTTGCCTAGCAAGGTCGGGACCCGGGTTCGATCCTCAGCACCACATAAAAAAAATAAAGGCATTGTATTGTGTTTATCTATACCTAAAAAAAAAATTTTTTTTTTAATTTGAGAAAACTAAGAGTAGATTCAATTGCTTTATGAAATGAAAAAAAAGGGGGGGACATAAAAAGTTAAAATTATTATATTAGAGGTAAAAGCTCGATGATTTTCTATACAACACACGGAACTCTATCACAACAGGGTATAAGAGAAGTGGGGAGCGGATGTAAAACTGCCAAACAGAATTCCAGTTGTCGCAAACACCCTCATCATCATCAGAAATAGTTTTCAAAAAGAACAAAACAAAACATGGACTTTGTGGGTTTTGTTTTTTTTCCAAATTTTCTCTTTTAATACAGAATCTTAACTAAAATTTAAAGATGATTTTCACTAAAAATTTTAGTGCAGAATTAGAGTCAATGTGAAGAATAGGCTTATTTGGGGGCTGGGGTTGTGGCTCAGCGGTAGAGAACTTGCCTACCATGTACGAGGCCCTGGGTTCGATCCTCGGCACCACATAAAAATAAACAAACAAAATAAAGGTATTGTGTCCAACTACAACTAAAAAATAAATGTTTGTTTGTTTAAAAAAAAATAGGCTTATTTGATTGAAAACTATTAAATTTTCTTTATTAATCAAATCAATGTTTAAAACATAGTGTCTAGTATAAACAGTTTACTCTCTGGTTCTCCATCCCACCTCTGCCATAATACTTATAAACATACATAAATTATAAGTAATAAATAAAATATTTAAATAGTATGGATTTTCTTTGAATATTCTAGAATCTTATATAGAAAAGTTAACAAAAAGTAAAAATATAAATGCTTTAACATTCTAGAGGTATGTTTTCAAAGTGATGAACAGCACGTACATCTGCTATTAACAGAAGTTATGCATTGAATTCTGATATACCACTTTGAAAACTTACCAATCAGAAAATGTCATTTTTACCTCTTCTTGTCCAAATTGCTCCATAGAATCACAGTAAACTTCACTATCTGAATCACTTGTCAAATGCTGAATTCCTGAAACATCTTCAACATGATCATCATTTATATCTAAATATGAACAATTACAGAAGTAGCATAATTATATTCTAACAGAAGAAAAACACATTCCATTTTCAAACTTCACCAGCTCTATATTATGTGCATACTGAGTGACACACATGATTTACCAAGTCATACGCTTTTTTTTAATTTAAATTTAGTTAACAGTTCTTTTTTTCTGGCTTTCTTTTGTTGTTGTTGTTTAGTACCAGGGATTGAACCCAGGAGAGCTCAATCACTAAACCACACCCCCAGTCCTTTTTATATTTTGAAACAAAGTCTCATTAAATTGCTTAAGACCTCACTAAATTGCTGAGGCTGGCTTTAAACTCGAAATCCTGCTTCAACCTCCAGAGCTGCTGGGATTACAGGTGTGGACCACAGCACTGGGCTTAGTTAACAGTTCTTATTTGAAAAGATTATAAAGTATTTTACCACTGAATTCTAGAAAACACTGTCCTGCTGAAAACTTATAAAACCTAATAACCACCAAGCTCGGTGGCACATGCCTATAATTCCAGTGAATTGGGAAGCTGAGGCAGGAGGATCACAAATTTGAGGCCAGCCTCAGAAACTTAGTGAGATCCTAAGCAACTGAGCAGACCCTAATCTCAAAATAAAAAAATTTTAAAAAGGACTAGGGATATTTTTCATAATAAAGTACTCCTGACTTAAGCCCTAGTACCAAAAAAAAAAAAGAAAAGAAAATCTATAAAGTCAGCCTATGAGGCCTAAATGAGAGATGCAACTATGCAAATTTGGTTGTTACACTAAGAAATGATATTTCTTGGTTTCTGGACTAAACTGGACCACTATTAATAATTCACCATATGTATATACAGGCCCACCCGGAGAGTCCTAGGACATGAAAAGACTATAAATTACGGGGCTGGGGATGTGGCTCAAGTGGTAGTGCACTCGCCCAGCATGCATGAGGCACTGGGTTCGATTCTCGGCACCACATAAAAATAAAATAAAGATATTGTGTCCACCTAAAACTGAAAAGTAAGCATTAAAAAAAAAAAAAAGACTATAAATTAATCTTATTGACTTCAGAACAAAGGCACCATATAATCAAAGGTAGGAGAAATAATCAGGAAAAAAAAGTAATAATTTGGAAGTTTTAGTTTAAAATATATTCTGAAATATCATATGGTTAACATAAAAAAAGTTTCAATACAAATATAAAATTTCCAGCTCTTACTTCACTGTCTTTCAAAGCTATTAAACCTTGTAACATTAATCAACCCTAAGATATTAATAAATATTTATATTTTAAAATTTGAGACTATTCCTAAATATACTAAAATTATTAAAAGAATATTTTAATAATAAGATAAAGGCTAGACAAAAAAATATTTGGGGACAATACCTTGGTGAATGCAGGCAGCAATTTTTTCAGTTTGCTCCATGTTTTTATCAACAGGTTTTACGTCATCAGCACTTTGGTCACTTGGAGAAGAGTTAGCATGAATGTCATTTTGTATCTCCTGAACAAAGCTGTCTTTATCATAGCCATTCGTGATAATAATCTCCAAATTCTTATAATCTGATTTCTTCATCATCTGCTTAGCTTTTATGAGAAAATGGAGAGATAAATAAAAAGTTCACAGTAGGTCAACTTCTGATATTATGTTCTAATAAGTGCTACTCAATTCCCCACTCTATCATAATCCTTTTGAAGGGTTTCCTACTTGGATCACAGAGATGGGGAACTCCTTGAAAAGGAGCTTATTATATGTTGAGGGCTTACTCAGAAATTGTATTAGCTTCAAAAGTGTTTCAGTTCCCTGTAAGTCTTCTAAAAATAATCTTTCAAAGTCCTTATACTCTACCAGGCATAGACAAACTGCTCTAGAGAAAAGATACCTCAAAGACTGAAAAGTAAAAGCAAAACAAAGTTGTGTGGTTTGTTTTACTATATCTCTATATCCCCCTTCTAAAATAATCTTCCCATGAATCACAAACAAGGCTCCCTGAATGCAGCTCCTGTAATTCTAGTGTTTATCTTCATCAAAACTGATGCCTGGATGGGGGCTGGGGTTGTGGCTCAGTGGCAGAGCATTTGCCTAGCACATGTGAGGCCCTGGGTTTGATCCTCAGCATCACATAAAAATAAATAAGTAAAATAAAGGTATTGTCTCCAACTACAACTAAAAATAAATATATATTAAAAAAAAAAAAAAAACTGATTCCTGGAGCCAAGCACAATGGTGCACATCTGTAATCCCAGCAACTCAGGAGGCTGAGGCAGGAGGATTCAAAATTCCAGGCCAGCCTCAGCAATTTAGGATTGAACCCAAGGCCTTTGTACCACCAAAAAAAAAATTTTTTTTTTAATTAAAAACATAAAAATTAAAAGCTAGTCTATTTCTCTGAATTTTTATTTATTTATTTAAAAAATATTTTTAGTTGTAGATGGACACAATATCTTGATTTTGTTTATTTAATTTTTTCATGTAGTGCTGGGAATTGAACTCAGTGTCTCACATGTGCTAGGCAAGGGCTTTACACTGAGCCACAACCCCAGCCCCTCTATTTTATTTTTGATAAGATAGTGAGAGTTTAACTTGTTTCTGGTCCTTGGTAATATAACCATGTCCATGTTGGAAACTTAATACTCTGTAATAGGGCCTTTGGTCCACCACAAACCTGAATATAAGGTCAACAACTCACATCCCACCACATGCACTAATCTTATACAGTACCATATCAGCTCAAGTCTTTGTACCTTTTCATTTTATTAGTGCAAAATTATTGGCCCATTATCCAAAGCTTACCATTATCCATTTGTTCTGCTCCTTTTACTTCTTGGGCCTCTTCTTCCTCAGACTCTGCTCCACTATCACTGCTTTCAGCTTTACCATTAACAGTCTTAGCATTTGGAGTAGAAGTTAGAACATTACCAAGATCTAAAACATGAAATGACCACTTAATCACTAATGTGGTAATATATGATAATTCTGTACTTTATAATAAAATAATTTTGAATTTTAAATATTAGAATTTTATAGATAATTAACAGTATTCTTTGACTCCAAATACACTTATATAGGCAAATTCCTTCCATTGTTAAGTTTAAAACAAAAAAGATAAAGCTATCTTAATTCCTTTATGGACAAGGCAGGTGATAAATTATTTTTAAGTTAACATCAATCAAAACAGTAAAGTTAGAGATGAAACAGTCTTCTTCAAACATATTAAATAAAGAGATATACTGTTAGCACCTGAAAACATAAATATGCTATTTTTGACCCTACCAACAATCTCATCAATATTATAGTTGGAAGCTGGGCACAGTTATAACATAACTATAAGCCCAGTTACTTTGGAGATTAAGGAAGATCGAAAATTTGAGGACAGCCACAGCAACTTAGGGAGACCCTGTCTCGAAATAAAATAAAAAGGGCTGCTGATGTAGCTTAGTGGTGGAGTGTACCTGGGTTCAATCACCAGCACACACACACACACACAAAAAAAAAAAACCTGTAATTCAATTCCATTCGAACAATTTTTTTCCCTTATTACCTTGAAGATTTCAGGTACATAACTCACATTCTCATGTCTTTATTATGATACATAAGAATTTCCTTAAAGCATCAATTAATGTAATGTGATCTATCAAAGCAGCAAATTGTTGTCTTAGACAAAGTTAAACCCTCAGGGTAAATATATCAGAACTTCTTCTCAAACTATAACATGCATAATCAACTGAAATCTTCTTAAGATACATATTTTGAATCAGTACGTCTGAGGTACTTCATTTCCATAAAGTTCCCATGTGTTGCCAATTCTACTAGTTTCCGGATCATGTTTTGAGGAACACAGAACACCATTTTCATCAACTCTTTTTAAAGAGATTGAAGTCTTCTTAGAAAGCCAAAAGAAGTAATTTTCCTTCATACACTTTTGGGCTTTATTTTCTGTGAAATGAATGCATTTTAGATGCTTCTCTGCATCCCAAATAATATATTAAATTCCAAAACATCATACACCTTAAATAATCAGGCCTATATTCTTATTTAAGCCTACCTAATTAAAGGAACAACAGAACAAACATTTAACTCTATTTTTACAAAATCAAGGCAGCAGCAGCATATATTTTTTGTTTGTTTCTTTTTATGGTGCCGGGGACCAAACTAGGACCTTGCACATGCTAAGTAAACAGTATTCTACCACTAAGCTGCATCCCAAGCCTAAAGTATTGTATTATGTACTAATTTTTTTTTTTTCCAGTGCTGGGAATCAAACCTGGACCTTGTGCATGCTAGGCATACAAGCAGCATAGTTTCTGAATCTCCCTGACAACCAGAAAAAGGAAGAACAACAAATTTAAATAGCCAAGAAACAACCCACCCATGAACATCTTCAATAAAATGTAAACAGGAATCACCTAAACCCCCATTAAATGGATAGTTGTAACAGAAGTACTTCACAACAGAAATAGCAGTCTCATTACAGTTCTGTGATGAATTAGAAAAAGTAAAGGAAATTACTCTTGAGCCCAACTCAACATCCAAAAACCAATTAATGCAATATACCATATTAACAGACTAAAGGACAAAAGTCACATGATTATCACAATACATGAAGAAAAAAACTGAACAAATCCTATACTCTTCATGGTAAAAGTGCTAGAGAAACTAAAAATACAAGGGCATTTCCTCAATCTGATAAAAGACTTTGGAAAAACTAGGATCATATTTAATGTTAGTAAACTCCTAAAATAAGGTACAAGTCAAAAAATTGGAGAACTTATACTTTCACATTTTAAAACTTATCACATATGTATATTCTGAAAAAGACCACATGAAACCGATATATCTGTTCCACTGGGTTTAAATGTCTACTTTTAACAGGATGCTTTGTTTGGGGGAAAAAAAAGGAGTCAAGATTGCAATTGGCCTGAAATTTGGCAATTCTTACAAGATTACAAACATTTCTTATTTCACTTCTAATATTATTTCTTACAGACATACTTTCAATATGTAAAATATCATGTACATAGTTAGTTACTCTCAACAGCTTTTGAAGATCAAAAAGAGCAAATCATCTAAATAGCCATCAGAATGTTAAATAAATTACAGTGTAGGTCATAATTCCTTACTGACAACTCTTGGATTCAGAAATTTTTTAATTTTGCAAATGTACATGACATAGTATGTTATATAATACTTCCTATATGGAATCTCAAACAGCTCACTAAAAATAATAACATAATTATTATTTTTATATAACAATATAATCATTTTTGCAGGAAAATATGTTAGTCACACTGAATCATATAAAGAATCAAAATACCCTCATGTCATTTCAGATAAGGTTCTATTCCACAATAAGTTCATATGAGGTCAGGTTTTTATACCAAATGAGTTACAAAACAATCTTAGGTTTTCAAAGCTTTGGGGATTAATAAATTAAAGGAAAGTAATTAGTCCTGTGCACTTATAACTATCATTTACTCTTCCTTGTTTTGTACTTTATTGTTCAAGAATGCTTCTGGCCAGTAGATTAGACACTACTGAAATAGGTCAAAATTTCCACCTGCATTCTAACAGTATGCTTGATACAGAAAACATTTAAGTTTTTTTCCTCAGCTTAATAAGCATAAAGTATAAAGAGAATTATTAATATTTGGTTCCTCTGCAAAATAATATAGAATGGTGTGATTCAGAATTATGCGCAACAAACAAGCAGACACTGTCAGTTACACATGGTTTACTGCCATGAAAGACACAAACTATAAGGCCTTTTAAGAGCACAGGAAAATTACTGTTCTGAAACACTACAAATCTGTTAATTATTAAAAGATGCGTTATGAACAGGAATCCAGGCTAATTTTTAATTAAAGCATACACAATTTTCATCTAAATTTACTCTTATGGTTTCATATCATTCTGCTTTCTAAAAAAAATTTAAAGAGCAAATGGTTAATGCCTGCAGATCTAGCATTTTATTTAACTCCTTCTGGTAGGCAAAACATAATCTATTGATCCTTTACTGAAAAAATGAAAATTTTTTAAAAGAGATATGTGAATTCACTGATGTCTTGTTTTTGCTTGTTTTGCTATAGTTAAGCCACACTGTAAACATGCTCATTTTAAAATTAGATAGAAAATACTTTACTCCATGGAACTGTTATTCTAATTCATACAGTAAAACTGAAAATGATTCATCAAACTTTTGTTCATACTAAGTGAACCACCTAACATGTTTAACAACAGTTAAGGTTAAAAACCTAAGGATTTATAGTATTTTAGAACTTTATACAATGTTTTTTCTTGGAAAAAAATTCCCAACCTACAATAAGTTCTACAAATTTGTGCAGAATGCTCTTGGTTTGTACATATTTTGGTTTGTACATATTAAAAACAAAATTTTTATATGGATTTCATTATTCCTACCTTCTAAATATTTAGAGATTTTCTCCAGTCGGACTGGCATGTGAAAGTAAAAATAAAAATTAGACATATAAATATTAATGCATGTATAATCTATAACTGGCCAAACTTAAAAAATAGGTAAAATAGTCCAACCTGAGGTTAAATCAGAACTCCTTCCACTCTTTTTGTCTTCTACAATTTCATAAAATGGACCTATGACATGTAGCAATTCTTCAACTTTTTCAGTCATTGGCATAGTTTCAAGAATCTGTAATCAAAAGAGACAAATATTGTAAAATTACAAACTATTAATTTGATCTGAATTAATATTAAATATCTTATGGTTTCCAATATTAATAATTTGGAAATCTGAAGTTAATTAATAAATTCTCTTAAGGATCTATATTAATTATATGCCTAATATATACATACTCCTAGAAAAGTTGTAAGTATATTAAAGATCTAAAAAGTGTTCTTATTTATTTATTTTGTTTTTTAGTTGTAGTTGGACACAATACCTTTATTTTAAAATTATGTGGTCCTGAGGATCGAACCCAGTGCCCCACACGTGCTAAGCGAGTGCTCTACTGCTGAACCACAACTCCAGCTTCTTATTTATTTATTTTTATTCGTGCATTATAATTATACATAATAATGGGATTTTGGGGTGTGTTATTGGGAATTGAACCGAGGGGTGATCTACCACTGAGCTAAACTCCCAGACTCTCTTTCCTTTTTTTTTTTTTTCTAATTTTTATTTTGAGACAGGTCTTGCTAAATTGCTGAAGATGGCCTCAAATTTAACAATCTTCTTGTCTCAGCCTCCCAAATTGCTGAGATTATATATGTCTGCACTACCCCACCTGGCTGTTTACGTGTATTTTTTAAAAAGCATGTATTTATATTTTTTAAACTCACAGCAGGTCTGGACTCATTAGTCACTCTCCTTGCTTTACTGTTCATTTACTGCCTGTCTTTCACAATAGAATATAAGCTCAATGCAAAAGGACCTTCATCTAGTTTTGTTCACTCCCGTTTTTAGTGTCTAGCATATAAAAAGTATTTAAAAAACTGGTTTAAAACTCTAAAATTCTTATTCAAATAACATGCTTTTATTTTTAAACCAGATACAGAGTAGATCATCAGTAATCTATGATTATAAACAAGTCTGATATTATTTTAAGCTGAGATAATACCCATAACATCACCACCCTCAGTGTGTTCCGATATGGAAGATAGGTTTTTGGGAGAGACTATACCAAATGAACAACAGTAACAATAACTGGTTTTAGAGATTATCTTTTGATTTTATAGCTCATAGTAAGTTATCTATGTTCCTATCAGTGTAAAGGAGTAAAAAATTGTTTATTCAGAAAATTTCTTTTTGCTAAGAAAATACTTGTTCTGAGGCTGAGAGCAGTCATGAGGGAAAATTTTATAACTTACTATATATATATTTAGGTTACAGTAATAATTTTAAGAATTAGATTCAAGTTAAAAACTGAAACTATGGGGTAGTGTTTATTTTGAAGTAACCAAAATCACAGCTAATATGCCAGAGATATAACTGAAAACAAGTCAGCACTTTTTTCACTACCCCATATTGCCACAACATGAATATTGATTTAGCAGAATCTGGTAAGGCAACCAGATACCTATCCTGAACCTCATTCAACACCTCCTTTGATCTTCCTCCAGAACAGATCTCTATTAGTTCTCTCATTAAAGCGATTTACAAACCACCAAAACAAAAAAAACCTCCCTCCTTAAACTCTAATTTGTCCTGAGCTACTCAGTTCAGTGTTTAGGTTCCCCCATGCCCCATAAAATAAGAGTGAACTTTGGAGTTGAAATGTCAGAACTAAATAAATGGAGTATGTACCAACACTAAACAAATATAAACAGTATTCTTTCAGTAAGGCAGAACCTTCAGTAGAAATGACACAAGTGGCCACCACAAGACCTATCTAGAATTTAATTTTCTGATGAAGAAACTAGAAATCAACAACCAAAAAAATTCTCTCCCTTTCAACAATGCTGAAATACAAAAAAAGGTACACACATGCATGTGTTCAGGCACACACGAGACGTATAGGAAGAGAGAGGCGTACACATATACATACAAGAGATAAAAACAGAGACACACACCCAAAGTCAAACAAGGAGACACAGGCAAATCTCAGTCTAGAAGAGGTAGTACTCATCCACAGAGAGTTCATTTCAAGTTTTAAGTTAATAAAATTAGTTCAAGCGTAGACTTCTTCTTTTTTTTAATATTTTTTAAGTTGTTGATGGACCTTTATTTTATTTATTTCAATGTGGTGCTGAGAATTGAACCTGGTGCCTCACACATGCTAGGTAAGTGCTCTACCACTGAGCTATACAACCCCAGCTCCCCAAGTGCAGACTTTTAACGGTAAGCTGCATGGACTGTAGAAAAACAGCATTCAAAGCACAGTAATTTTTCTAGATATATCCAGCAGTTTCCTCAAAGAGACACATCATTTTTAGGTGATAAAAATATACTTGGAAAGATACATATATGCTTTATTAAAGCAAAGAAAAAATTCCTCAGGTTTTTGTCTACAATGAACATATCTTTTAAAGTTACCCAAGTCCCAATGCTTAATCTCTGTTCAATAATCTTAGTAATCACAAATTTAGTCTCTCCAGTGCTTCTGACCTTCTGAGGAGACTCACAGATATCAATCCCAAGTATGCCAATGATTAGAAAAGTCTATCGCCCACACAAAGTAAAGAAATTGGCATCCTGCTTTTTCCCTCAGTCTCTAAAAGATATTTATCATGAGTCAAATCTTAAAAATACAAGTCAACTCAAAACTCAGAGAAAGTCAGTGCTCTAGACTTGTGTAGCTCTAAACTAGACCCTCAGCCATGGTAACTTCAGGTTCTATCCTTTATAAGATCCCACTCTAATCCTCCCTCTATTACAGCAGATATCCAATCCTCTTAGAAATCCTGACACAATTAATCTGGAGTCATGCAAGGGCATCTGTACCAGTGAGTCTAATGTGCAGACAGGATTAAGTACACTGATTTCTCTTTAAATTCCACAGACAAAATGTATATTATTCAAGTGTTAAATGAATATTCTGGAAATCCCCATAAGATTTTGTAAAACTGTATAAAAAATAGGATTTTATACTTCCCATTGATTATATATCAAAATAAACTTCAAAGAAATGGATTTTTCCCTAAAACCATCTTACTTACTTTATTCACTCAAAGCTAAAACAATTTTGGATTCCAGCAACTTTTTTGGTGATATTTTACTGGACAATTTTATAAATTATGATAAGCAATATTCTACCAAACAGGATCCATTATAAAACACAAATTAATAAGGCTCCTAAAACCCATGAAATGAGATTTATATTCTAAAGAGTAATGGTACAATGATTTATGAACTATGAAACATGATTTAATGACTGCTTCAATTAGTAAATTATTAGAAAAAGTTACATAGAAACATGCAATTTTTTTATACCTTTATTTTTTTATGTGGTGCTGAGGATCGAACCCAGGGCCTCACACATGCTAGGCGAGCACTCCACTGCTGAGCCACAACCCCAGCCCCTAGAAAGATGCAGTTTTATCTACTGATGTTCATAAGCTGAACTCTGAATGTAATTTAAGACTTATCACATTTTCAATCTATAGGTATTTAATATTTTAGATTTAACTCTAAAAGTTTACTATAAACTTTGTTATTTGTAATAGAAAATGAAAATTTTAAAGCCTATTGAAGATAGTTTGTTTTTTTTAAATAGAGAAATAACTATAAAAACTCATATATGGAAGAAGTATTTTAAGACAGCTAAAAGGCAACACTATAGTTTAAATGAGGGTGGAATGTACATTGTTTTATCCCCTTCTTACTTTAAATTGTGACAACATTAATTAGTAAAACTGGATAGGAAAAATATGTAAATTTTGCTTAATGTGGCAATTCAACCTTATACTATAGAAGTATATCCTCAAAATTATAATGACATTTAAAGTACAGAGAAAGAAATAGGGGGCTGGGGCTGTAGCTTCAGTGGCAGAGCGCTTTCCTAGCCTGTGTAAGGCAGTGAGTTCAATCCTTAGCACCACATAAATATAAATAAAATAAAGGCATGCTGTTGATCTAAAAAAAAAAAAAGAGAGAGAGAGAACAAAAAAAGAGAGAGAAAAGAAAAAGGAATAGTTATCAAACCAAACCAAAAAGGTTTTGAATTTTCTTTCTCTGATTTGAAGGGCTCTTTTTTTATTGTATTAATGATATAGATAACAGCCAAAAGAATTAAACTCTGCCCTCTACCATAAAGTCCACTAAATAAAAATTGTGAAAATGTAACAAAGGGCACCACTTGAGCAGTGCAGAAGAGAAACAACTAGCGATTGATACCATTGAGCCATATGGCAAAAAAAACTATTCCTTTTTTACAGATTTTCTTTATGTTTAAAGATAATTTATTTAAGGTTTTCAAACAGAAATAGATTTCACAACTTCTGACCCATGCCCAATATAAAATTCATGATTTTTTCATAAATGTATTCCTCAAAACAATGCCTTAGTCTCATGTGGTGGCACATGCCTGTAATCCCAGCGACTAAGGAGGCTGAAGCAGGAGGATTCCAAGTTCAAAGCTAGCCTCAGCAACTTAGCAAGGCCTTAAGCAACTTAGTAAGACTCTATCTTAAAATAAAAAAGGTTTGGGAATGTCTCTCAGTGGTAAAGAGTCCCTGAGTCCAATCCCCAGTACCAAAAACAAAACAAAATGCCTTTGATAGACTTAAAAGAGCTAGTTAAAAAGGAATGCCCTCCTCTGTAGTCCACAGGAATCCTAAAAGCATCATTATCCTTTTCTGCCTTTAAAGGAACTATGCATTCACAGAAAAATGCTTGTTACTAGTAAGTCCACTGATGAAAATGCATCAATTTAGCAGTCAAAACTTGTAAGAGAACATTGCTGGGGAGTCTTCGTAACTTTTCCTCCCAAATACAATGTTCCAAACCTGAAATGCTCTTCAGACAGACCAGCACTTACAAGACTCCCAAGTAAGAGACACCAATATTTTCAAAGATTTGTTGGGCAAATATTTATATATATTTTTCCAAGATTCCTATTTCTGTACTTTTTCCAGAAGTTGACTACAGGGAAAGAAAGATGTAAAAAAAAAAAAAGCTAAAATATCCCTACAATATAGGATCTTAAGGAAAAAAATACTCCTGTTAAGATGAACTTTAACAAAGTACATAAAGTTCAAATAAACTTAATAATCTAGATTCTATAGTAATGTACTACAATCTCCTTGTTCTTGAAAACAAAGCAGCTAATTTGTCTAATAAAAGTAAATTAGAGGGGCTGGGGATGTGGTTCAAGCAGTATCCTGCTCGCCTGGCATGCGCGGCGCTGGGTTGTGTCCGCCAAAAACTGAAAAATAAATATTAAAAAATTCTCTTTCTCTATCTCTCTCTCAAAAAAAAGTAAATTAGAGCTGCTCTGAATATTGTTATTTTCAACTATAAATTATTTTCCCTACCTTTTTCATTTCTTCAACATATGCAATCATGGCTTCTTCCTTGGTCATATCACCCAAAGAACTCCAAGCATCCCTAGCAATGAAAATACATAAAAACAATAAAAAAAATAACTGATTTTTCAATTGTAGAGAATACAACTTATAGTTGACACTATATGGTCAATTAATTTAAAATAGGTTCTACTTAAAGCCATATTATGTTTCCAAAAAAAATCTCATTAACAAATATGTCACCTGGAAGAGAACTATCAAAACAAAAAGAACTGGCAAATTAAATAGCATTAAAACAATAAGTAAATAACCTATCCAGACATTAATAGGTCACAGAAACTGTAAGCTACTCATAAATATTGCCTAAGAATTCTTTAAAAGTTTTTACATATAATTATACCAAACAGTAGTGGAAATGAACATTTTAGAAGTCTACTGTCACAGCCATGTTTTAAATGAATAGAAGTTTTGGTTAAAAGTTTCCACTAATTTAAATAAGAGTAATGTATACACTAGAACAAAAACTAAAAATGGTTCCTTATTTCTAAAAGAATGAAAATATGAAGGTAAGAAAATGTTTAAATTCCTTGAAATGTTTGCCTAATATGAAAATCTCTATTTTTATACATTTTTCCCAGAAGGAATTTAACTTCACTGAAGTTCAATTCTAGGGAAAAAATGTTAAGCAAATAAATAAATTTTCTTGAAACAAAGAACATATTGAGATTTCGTTTAACCTATTACTTTATTATAATTCATAAAGATCTTACTGGAAGTACCATATTTAGTACTTTTAGTGGCTCTTAAACATGCTTCATCAATTAACATACTTGGTTATAAGGTACAGTTGAAAATGGACTTTTGTGAGACATTTGTAAAGTGTGCAATGGTATTTTAAAAATATCAAATGTTAGTGGACTGGGAAAATGATAACAACATCAATAACTTATCATTCTTTAATTGTATTAAAAACCAAATTTCTACTCAAATGCAGTGGCTCAGAGGTAATAACTGAGATAAAAAGTTAACATGGCAGTACCTGAGTCATATTTCTAGTTACATATTATCTGAAAGGCTCAAAGCAAACAGTATCAGTTGATGAGCAAAAGTCATTACTTTTCTTGGCAGCTAAAAGAGGCAGGAAAGTTTATCTCTTACTTAGTTCAAGAGTTGCTTTGAGATTTAAAAAAAGAAAAACTATAAGAAGATGAACTGAAAATCCTTTATGTTTTTGATGCACCTATCCTCTTGGTTTTACTGTTTTCTTGTCTTGCCCAAGATTTTCCTATTTGTGTAAGTAAGACTGTATGAAGAGCACCTAGAGGACAAAAACTGTATGCAGTACACCTAGGATATTTTATGCACTGAATAGTATATAACCACATAAGTAATAGTGTGGGATAATTATTAAAATTGAAATCCTTTCTTGGCTCTATAAATGAAATTACCATTTATATCTTCCAATAGGATCCCAGAATCCAGGTCTTGAAAGCTTACAGGGTCCTTCAGTTGCCTGTTTATAGAAGCTATAGAACTTGAGCATCATTTCATTTGTTGGCTGGAATGAACCTATTGGAAACATACATTAAATACAAATTACTTGGGGAATAACACTGATAACCCATGGTTGTATATTAGCTTAGCCATGCAGTACTATAGTGATCTGATATTTGAATAGTCAGATAATTTTTTCTATCTTAGAAACAAAAGTTATGGCAGTTTTATTAGTTACTCTGCTCCTATGATTAAAAAAAAAAAAATCTCTGAAACTTTAAACTTAAACAATGTTAAACACAATTCAGAGGCCTGGGAGGCCGAGGCAGAAGGATTTTGAGTTCAAAGCCACCCTCAGCAACTTAGCAAGGCCCTAAGCAACTTAGTGAAACTGTCTCAAAATAAAAATTAAAAAGGGCCGGGGATGTGTCTTCATACAGTCTTACACAAATAGGAAAATCTTGGGCAGGACAAGAAAACAAGATGTTTAAGCATCTCTGGGTTTAATATCTGTACCAAAAATAAATAAGTAAGTAAGCCAGTCAGTCAGTAAGTAAATAAGTAAGTAAATAAATAAAATGAATAAACACTCTAAGGGTATAACCAAAATAACCAAAAATAACCAGAAAACATCACATAAAATATATGGAAGTATAGGGCTGGGGTTGCAGTTCAGTGGTAGAGCGCCTGCCTAGCACATGCAAGACCCTGGGTTCGATCCTCAGCACCACATAAAAATAAATAAATTAAATAAAAGGTTTTATGTCCATCTACAAATAAAAAAAATTAAAATATGGAAGTACAGAATAATGTTATTAAGCAAAATAAAGCTTGTGAAAAATCAAAACTGACTAGCATAAATGAAAAAAAGTTAGAAACATACTTTGGTTAATAAAGTATCAACAGTAAAAAATCAAACTCCTCTTGGCCAAATTTCAATTTCCCACTGGATAAGGAACTTCAGCTAAAGCCAACCAGTGTGTACTTTAGTGGAAAAAGAACTAATGCAATATAAAACAGATTTCTCAATTTTTACCTTTGTAATTTTGGTTATATCAGTTTTTTGAAGATAAGTCTTCATATATGCTTCTAGCATATCTATCAATATTCATAACCTCTTTTATATTTGAAATTTTCAAAGTATAAAGTCAAGTACCATGAATTGGAATATAATTTTTTTCCCCACACTGTGACAATTCAGGGGCTCTCTGAGATCCTCAGATCATCCTCAGCCCTTCTTATTTTTTAAAATTTATTCTAATTTTCATATACAACAGCAGAATGCATTACAATTCATGTTATACAAATAGAGCACAATTTTTCATCTCTCGGGTTGTACACAAAGTAGAGTTACACCATCATGTCTTCATACATGCTTCTTATTTTTTATTTTGAAATGCTGTCTCACTAGGTTGCTGAGGCTGGCCTCAAATTTGTAATTCTCTTGTTTCAGCCTCCAGAGTCAATGGGATTACAGGTGTGTGCCACCACATCCAGCTACAATACTCTTAAAATAAAGAATTGGAATGCTAGTTTTTTTGTTAATAGATAACTGGCTAGATAATTATGATACACACAAGTAACAGAATATTATAATGATAGCCCTAATAATGGCTTGATAAATTTCATGATCTTCTATAAAGTATAGGTTAAAAACGGCATATACAATATGATCTATTTTTACAAAATAAGAATTTACATACATGAAAAATACATCAAAAGGCTATACATAAAAATGTTAAAAGGAGCTATCTCTGGATAGTAGATACACAGATTATTTTATTTTCCTTTTTACTTATCTATGTTAATTTTTTTTTTTCAGTATTAGGGACTAAACATGCTTAGTAAGCACTCTATCTCTGAGTTACATCCTCAATTTTCTTTTACTTTGAAACAGGGTCTCATTAAGTTGCCCAGGCTGTCCTTGAACTTGAGATCCTCCTGCCTCAGCCTCCTGAATAGGTGGAATTACAGGCATATGCCACCACACCTGGCATTTGTTTAAATTTTTAACATTAGTGCATATTACTTTCAAAGCAAAAATTATTATACAAATAAAAACTGTAAGAAGGTATTTTGGAAAACTTCATGACTTCATACTAAACAGATAACATGTGAATCAAAAGCTATTCATTTATAAAAATGGAAATTACAACACTGACAAACTGAGAACTGGTGTTTCAGGTCTAATCAAGAATGAATAATTGGGGCTGGGGTTGTGGCTCAGAGGTGGAGCACTCATCTAGCACATGTGAAGCCCTGGATTCAATCCTCAGCACCACATAAAAATAAGTAAATAAAATAAAGGTATTGTTTCCAACTACTTCCAAAAAAATAAAAAAATGTTTTTAAAAAAAGAATGAATAATTAATTCCCAATCACAATAACAATTATCTATATAATATAGACACATTTGGGAGTATCTACTAGATAAAGTGTTTCAATGATATAGTTGTTTTTTATGCAACAGAGGAAAAAAATGCAGAAAAAATTGTTAAAAATGGTTACCAATGAGTAACACAAATCTACATTTGAAAATTCAAAAACCTCATCTCTTAATGTCTTCAGTAAGCCAACAAAGTAAGATATTTTGTGTGTGTGGTGCTTGAGATTGAATCCAGGGCCTTGTGCATTTGAGGTAAGCATTCTATCAACTGAGCTATACCCCCAGCCCACAAAGTTAAGATTTAAAGGTTTAATAGGCTTGGCTCAATGACACATACTTTATATTAAAAAAAAAAAAAAAAATTGCAGGATGCAATGGCACTCTCCTGTAATCCTAGAAACTTGTTAGACTGAAGCAGGAGGGATACAAGTTCAAAGCGAATCTCAGCAATTTAGTGAGGCCCTAAGCAACTTAGCAAGATCCTTAGCTCAAGTGCCCTGGTTTCCATCCCTGGTACCAAAAAAAAAAAAAACCCAAACAAAAAAATTATTGAACATATTCTGCGCTGTAAGATTGCAGACAAAGTATGATGTATCTGATCTTTTGTCTTTGAGGCACTCACATGACATACTTAATATATGTGTTTGAAATATTATCTAAGAATTTATATTTCTAAAGATCAAAGTCATTATTGCACTTAGCAAGACCCTAACCAACTTAGCTAAACCCTGTCTCAAAATAAAATTGTTAAAGCTGGGAATGGTGATGCACACCTGTGATCCCAGCAGCTCAGGAAGTAGAGGCAGAAGAATCTCAAGTTCAGGGCCAGTCTCAGCAATTTAGTGAGGCTCTAAGCAACTTAGAAAGACCCTGTTTCAAAATAAAAAATAAAAAGTGCTGGGAATATGGCTCAGTGATTAAGCACCCTTGGGCTCAATCCCCACTACCAAAAAAAAAAAAAAGCATTTATTATTAAATATTAAGCAATAAAAACAAAACTATAAGATTTTGCTTTTTGTAAAATAGATCAGACCAGACCAATTTTAAAAAACAGTGTTTTATAAAAATATTTAATAATTCCTGTGAACCAAAATAAACTTTCCCTCCTGAAAAAAATTAATTTAAAATAAAAATATTTAATAATTCATTATAACAAACTTGTGGCTCAATGAATATTACTTCAGTTTCAGAAAAATAACATGATCTTTGTGTGGAGCCAGTGGGGGGACAGATGCTGGAGATCACACTCAGGGTATCCTGCATGCTAAGTCTGAACTTCACCACTAAGCTACACCTCCAGTACTATTGTTAATTTTAACTTTGTAATAATGCCTTCTAAAATGTTAAGTAAATACAAACTCTTTTAATTTACATGAGTTTTTTTAGTAAGTTGACTAAAATGTTAAAAAAAAAAAAAGTAAGCTGAAGACATTAAGTCTAGCTTTTTCAATTTTCAAAAAACTTGTACTACTTATAAAAAAACTCTTGGAATCATACCTTTCTATAAACACTCTTAACCTAACATTAAAATATCAATACTTAAATAAATTCCTATGTTATTTGTATACATTCTGTTTCTTCTAGCTTAACTTTCAATCCTCTCTATGACCTCCTTCAATGGAATGTTTGAAAGTATAAAAGAATCAGGAGACTAAAGCAGAGAATCACAAATTCAGTGCAAAATAAAAAAAGTTTAAAGGGCTGGGGATATACCTCAGAGCCTCCCTAAGTTCAATACAAAGTTGGGGGCGGGGGCCGGATTACAAAAGGGAACATTATTTTTTCTGTACATTTGTTTTCATAACTTTCTTTTTTCTTTTTTCCAAGGGTGTCACTAGGATTGAACCCAGGGCATCATTCAGCTTAAGTACCAGCTCTACAAAACTTTCTGAATCTGCACTTAGCAAATTTTTGAGTGAACTGTATTGAAGATTCATTACTTAGCCAAATATGATTAATGAAAACCAAGAAGATGATATTAAATACTCTAGTAATATGTTTATATAGTCAGGTTTCCCACTCTGGTACAGTAATAGTGCTTAAAAGCATTTTTAAAAATTAGTTTATGATTTTAAATAATCCATATGATGCAAAGGACATGAATTGCAAAGTGAAAGTCTCCCTCCCCAAGCCACTCTACTTAGAAAAGGGGGGAAAAAATAATGGCTGAAAACTTTCCAACACTGCCCAAAAATAAAATTACAATTTACAGTTTACAAACTGTAAACAGGATAAATAAGAAGAAAAAAACACATCTAAACACATCATAGTCAAATTACTGAAAACCAAAGATAAACAGAGAAATGACATACTAAAAGAAAGAGAACAATAGATCTGACTTTCCCCACAAGCTGCAAAGAAGGTCCAATATAGGTATATGTTAAACAAAACAAAACAAAACAAAATGCTAATACAACGGAATAGCAGCCAAAAAAAGTATTATATTTATTAAAATAAATCATTTTACAAATGAATATTGCTGTTTTTTCCTTTCCTTTACTTCTTCCTTTCTCTTACTTCATAGCAAAAGTTTTCAAAAGGTTTGAATTGTAGATTTTCGAGTATATGGTACCAGGTATCCCATCCCAGATTTTTTTTTTTAACAAATCCGCAGTCATTAAATGAGAAGACTTTCGTTTTTAACTATCTAAACAACTTAAAATGTGGATAACATTTGTCTGTGGCTTCAAAGATCAGCAGGTCGTTAATTCATATTCAATACCTCCCCTACCAATTACATGCCTTTACAACACAGGAAAAAAGTAGGCTAAATAAGCCAGGCTCGAACCAGAAAGAAGGTTAAAAAAGGTGAGGTTTAGAGACCTTGGGCCTCGTCGGAAGGCTTCTCCAGCGGGGCCCAGTGCACGTACCATTTTTCGGCAAACTCTGGATCACCTTCACGGCCGCCTCAAACCTGGTTTCATGGACCGATCTAGTGTCCGCCATCTCCAGCCGCCAGCGCGGGCCCCGGTCCCAAGATCGGTCGGCAGGAATCAGGCAGCAGCAGCAGCACCAGCTTTCCCAGGAGCCTGCATGAAACTGGAACATGCAGCGCAGCCGCGGATCAACATGCCCCAAAGGGAGGAGGCCTAGGAGCGCAGCTGGTCAGTTCCCTTTTGCCCTGCTCTATCCAGGCCACACAGATCGAGGTGGCCTTGCTCCTTCCTCCCCGGGGCGTGACTAAGAACCAGAACCCTGCCCGCGACGACAGAAAATTAACTCACCGAGAGGAAGAGCATCTCTAGCAGAAGGCAGAGGGGGTCCGGCCACCGGTGGTCGCGGAGCCGCTCTCCCACTCGAAGGACTCTGGCCGAGCAACCACACCCCCCATTCCCGCGGAGTCGGTCTTTCAATCGGCACCCTGCCCACAGCCCCGCCCCGGAGTCACCGCAGGACCCACCAGCTGTCGCAGCCGCCGCTGCCGCCGCGAAGCAAACCCCCCCCACCCGCCCCGTGCGGCTGACGCTCGCGGCCCGTGCGTCCCCAGAAAAGGACCTGGGAGAGGCGAAAGGAGAGACTGCTGTCCAAGGGATCACCGACCGGGATTGACCAGGGGAAGAACTTGTGCTCGGTTTTGTTCAGGAGGGTGGGAAAAGAGGTCGCTATACTCTGGGATCACGGGGTTGGATTCTGCCCCTGGGCCCTAAGGGCGCGCGAGGGTCCCTCCGGACAAAAAAAGAAAAAAGAAAACCAAACGCGACAGACTGTGCAGTCCCCAGCTCCTGCCTTCTCTTAGGATAGGGCTTGAAGAAGGTAATGGGACAGAAGCAAAGAGCTTTAGATCCAGACAGGCTCGGTGCGTACCTTCCATTCTGCCACTTGGATTCTGTGACCTAGCGCAAGTCTCTTAGCCTCACCAACGGCACCGTGATACCACTCCAAAGGGATTGGGGACTTTGGATGGAGATGCTTGGCCCCCAAGTTTATGACAACTTTCACCGCCCCAGCCAAGATGTCCGAGCAGCAATCAAAGGAGGTCGCCCGCTACTCAACTGGGTCGGAAGGGGGACACCTTCTCCTACACGACCCCTTTCTATGGGCCCCAGGAAGCCCAGCACATCCCTTCTCTAGCCCGACTTAAAAGGGGATTGGGCTTGGGGAAGGGGCGTTAGAGGGCCCTATACAGACCGTCAAACCTACAAAGGGATACCCTGGGCCTTCAACGAGCGAGCACAGCTCCCCCGCTTCCTTGGGCATTGAGAAAGCGCCCCCAGACCCGTAAGGGGTGTTGTCTTGGGTTGCCGGGTCGGAGGGGTGCGACCCGGAAATCTCAAAGTCGCCCCACTAGGAGCATCGTTTTTGTCGGTTCAGGATGGGTTAGAGGGGTTACTAGCACAAATCTAGTCGCGAATCCTAAGACTTTTCTCTTCGAGCCGCGGTGCCGGCATTTACCTTCGTACTGCCGGCAAGGCCTGTCCGGTAATGTCCCCGACGCCCGGCCCTGCCGACTTATGGGAAATGTAGTCCTCCCTCTGCGGCGCTTCCGGGCGCCTCCCTCCCGGCGCCGGCGTTCCTCCCGCCTGTTCCGGTGGGCGTCTGGGTATAGCCCACCCTCCCGGCGTCTGGCGGAAATCCCTCCTCACCGCTGGGTCGCGCTTTGTGATCCTTCGCGGGGCCACATCCGCTTCCAGCAAAAGGGACTCTCAGTGGCCTGTTGGAGAGGTATCCTGATGTGACTGCACGTGGTCGGGAGACGGGTTTAATTTCTTGCTCTTGGTGCTCATTAACATTGAGTTCATATATGAAAGCCAAAGAGTACCGTAATAAAGACTTCCGTTTAGTGAGTGGCTAGTGTTTTGACAATCTCCAGACACTCCGAAAATGCTGTAGGGTATTTACGAATGAGGAAATGGAGGCTTACAGTAACGAAACTGCCCAAGGCCCTAAGATTTAATAAGCACCAGAGCCAAGATTCACATAATCCCAAAATTTGGCCTTTTCCCAGCACAACAAAGGAAGATGTTAGCAACTTAATCAAACTGGAATGATTTTATGTGTTTAATATGATAATATATGTGTTGCTAGTTATGCATATTAATTAAAATATTTTGGACGTTTACTTCTAAGACTTCATTTTGACAACTGGTCATTGGGATTTTGTAATGAGCCACTCATTGTTGCTCTTTAGGTAATTATGAATGTGCGAGCTGTGTCAGTGATACACTGAATTTCCATTTCCTAGTTGTATAGATTTCCAGTTACAAACAATAGCGAAGAATAAAGGAAATTGAAGTTATTCAGGTAATGATTTTTTTCAAGTAGGGTTTTTGTTGTTGTTGTTTGTTAGTTTATTTTCTTGTTTTTGTTTTTGCCAAGAAGTGGAAACTACCTAAGTACCCATCAAATAAATAGATAAAGGAAATATGGTACATGTACACCACAGAGTACTTTAGCCTTAAAGAACAAAATCCTGTTGTTCATGACAACATGGAGATTGTTATGTTAAGTAAAATAAACCAGACCCAGAAAAACAAGTACCATATGCTCTCACTCATGTGGAATACAAAAAAAAAAAAAAAAGATCTCAGAAGTTAAGAGTAGAATTATGGTTACCAGATCTTGGAAGGTAGAGAAAAGAGATTTATGGGCTGGGATTGTGGCTCAGTGGTAGAACACTTGCTTGGCATGCATGAGGCACTCGGTTTGATCCTCAGCACCATAAAGATTGTGTCTACCTAAAACTAAAAACTAAATATTTTTTTTAAAAAAGAGATTTGAGTTTGCTCATAGTTAGATAGGAGTAAGTAGTTTTAATACTGCCCAGTAGAATGACTATGGATAATGATAATGTACTGTATATTTCAAAAAGCTAAAAGTTTGAATGCTTTCAGTATAAAGAAATGATCAATGTTCAAGGAGATAGATGTTTGAACATTACAGTGTATACATGTATCAAAAAAAATCAGGTAGTACCCCATAATTACATACAATTATGTTTTTTGTATCAGTTAAAAATAAAATTTTTAATTTTAATATTTAGCTCAATATATCTTAAACATGATCATTTCGATATAAAAACAATTATTAAGATGTTTTACATTTTTTCATTCACAGTTTTTGAAATCCAGTGTATATTTTGCATTTACTGCATATTTTAATTCAGATCTACATTCAAACTAAACTGTAGATTACTACTGTCTCAAGTGGTCAGCAGGCACATTTGGCCACCATGTTGATCAGCATAGTTCTTTAGTTCACGTGTACATGTTGATGTTTTCCACCTGCTTAGCTTTCAATCCCTGCTGTTACAATATCTGCTGAGGTTTGGAAACAACCCCATCCTTTTGATACACATGTAAGCTGGGGTGAACAACCATCTTGATTTACCTGGGACTGAGAGGTTTACTGTAAAACAGGACTTCACAGGCAAAACCAGGAAGTCCCAAGAAAACCAGGATGCTCATCTTACATGTTATATATACTTATTCAATTACTATATTGTATTATCCTGGCTACTGTAATGTGTTCAGCTGTAGAATGTATTAACCTGGCTGCAATCGTGAGGTTTTATGGAAACCAGTGGGAAAAAGAACCTTATTTTCTGTGGTGGTCATTATCTATAAAGCTTCATCTAATCACCTTTACATTAAAAAGGGAACACCTGGTTGAAAATATCACCTATTGTGCAGGAAACCACAGCTAGAGAAAAACTGAATTTGGGGAAGTTTTTTTTTTTTTTTATTTTTGAGTCCTAGATCTAGCCCTTCCTGAACCTATGTTATTCTTGACTTTTTAGCAAGCCAGTAATTTTTTTTTTTTTTTTGTACTGGGCATTAAACTCAAGGGCACTCGACCACTGAGCCACATCCCTAGCCCTATTTTGAATTTTATTTAGAGACAGGATCTCACTGAGTTGTGTAGTGCCTCATTTTTGCTGAGGCTGGCTTTAAACCTGCAATCCTCCTGCTTCAACCTCCTGAGCCACTGGGATTATAGGTGTGTGCCACTGCACCCTGCAGTAAATTCTTTATACATATTTCTGTTTTGTTTTTTAAACCATTCAGGTTGAATTCACATTATATAAAACTAGAACAGTCCTCACTGATAAAATAAGGAAGAAAAAATATGGAATCCAAGAAGTTTAGCTGCAATATGTCAGGCTCATGAGAAATGCACTGTGGAGTGTGTGTGTGTGTCTAATGAGGATTGGAAACTTAGTACCTTAGTGAGGTAGGGAATTGAAGGCACTGAAATGCATGCTGGAAATAACCTACAAATTTGTAGGGGATTTTATTTACTTCATTATTTATTTTAATTAGTTCATTATATTGTACATAATAGTGGAATTTGTTGGTATGTATGTGTATATGCACACAATATAATAATATAATTTGGTTAATATCATTCCTTAGAACCCCCCTTCCCTCCTCAACTGCCTCCTTCTATTTTCCTTCCTCTTTTCTACTAATTTTCTTTTTATTTTCAAGAGATCCCCTTCCAACATTTTTCTCTCCTTTTTTCTTTCTGCCTTTGTGTATGAGAAAAAACTTATGACCTTGACTTTCTGAGTCTTGTTTATTTCATTTAACATAACTCTATCAAGTTCCAACCATTTTCCTTCTGTGACACAATTTCATTCTTCTTTATTGCTGAATAAAATTCCATTGTGTATATATACATTTTCTTTATCCATACATCCATCAACAGACACCTAGGCTGGTTCCATAATTTGGCTATTGTGAATTGTGCTTATATAAACATGGGTATGCATGAATCACTATAGTATAATGACTTTGATTCTTTAGGATAACTCTAGTTATCCTAAAGTCATGGTATAGCTGGAAAATATGATGGTCTATTCCTAGTCTTTTGAGGAATCTTTATATTGATTTCCATAGTGGTTATACTAATTTACAGCCCCAAAAATACTGTAAAAGTGTTCCTTTTCCCCTCAATCTGCTCCAGCATTTTTTTTTTCTCTCTCTATGGTATTGGGAATTGAACTCAGGGACACTGTACCACTGAATCACATCTCCAGTCATTTTTGAAATTTTTATATTTTGAGACAGGGTCTTACCAAGTTGCTGAGGCTGGCCTTAAACTTGCAGTTTTCCTGCCTCAGCCTACTAAGTCACTGGGATTACAGATATGTGGGACAGCACCCAGCCTATCTGTATATTCTCTCTCTCTCTCTCTCTCTCTCTCTCCCCTCCTCTCTCCTCTCTCTCTCTCTCTCTCTCTCTCTCTTTTGAGAATGACAATATACATAACTGTTTAATGATCATTATCATCCTTGCCATTCACAGTAAAACATGAAAACTCAAGATTTGAGATGGGGTCAGAGTGGTTAATAGAGGAAAATGAACTTTGGGGAGAAAATAAATTAACTTGATTTTTCCTCATGTCATTGTTTATCAATTCTAAGTAATGAGGGAAACAAGAAAAAC